AGGTCGAAATGTAAGGGATCACGGGTTTAGAGTGCAGGGTCCCTTTTCGAAGAAATCCACAGAGTCCAATTGGTACATGTAAGACACCATTTAATCAAGCTGATCAACATGAGACAGACAGAAGCACTTCTGTTTCTGCTTTCAAACACTGCCCACCCCTCCTATGTTTCTGCTGACATTTATACTCAAGTAATAGGTCATGGAAAGTACTCTCTTTCCAGCCCCCTCTTCCTTGACCTTTTGATGGAAAGTACCTTCATGTACATGCAGACTCTGCACTTAAATCAACAACCTTTGAAGTTAACCACAATACAACATCCAGTGTAAGAAAGTACCTTCTTGTACCTCTATATGTCACATCTTGTTTCTGAAAAACATTTTCTTCCGTATTGCTCTTTTTCTACATAGAAAGAGTATGTTTCTCTTTTGCTGTTAATTTCATTCAAAACCCCTTGTTTTGCATTTGCAAATTTCACTCAAAGACCCTTTCAATAGCCCCTCAAACTGTTGGAGGGCCGGATTATAATTTGCGGGAAAAAATGAATGAATTCCTATGCACAGTGCACGTATCTTATTTGTAGTGCAAAAAACACTTTAGAACAATATAATAATTAAAATGAAGAGCAATTATAACAAATATAAGCTTATTAGTATTTCATTGGGAAGTGTGGGCCTGCTTTTGGCTGATGAGATAGGATTGTTGTTGTTGTGTGCTTTCAAGTCATTTCAGACTTAGGTTGACCCTGAGCGAGGGCCGGGTAAATGACCATGGAGGGCCGTATTTGGGCCCGGGCCATAGTTTGAGGACCCCTGCCCTAAGTCTACACTGCTAAATAATTCAGTTCAAAGGTGATAATCTAGGGGCCCTTTCACACAACCCTATATCCCAGAATATCAAGGCAGAAAATCCCACATCTGAGTGTGGACTCATATAATCCAGCTCAAACAGTCTTTCTTGCTTTTTTTGGTCAGTGCTGATGTGGAGAGTGCCTGGTTTGCCTTCTCTGGAACATGCAACATATCATCGTCCTTCTTTAAGGGTCCCTTTCAAGTCTATGATACTATAGCTCTGTGTGTGACTCATATATATCTATGGCTGGATGGCTCTTTGTCAGCGGGAGATTTATTTATTTATTTATTTTATACGCTTGTATACCGCTAATATCTCAGCCTAAGTCGGCGACTCATTGCGGTTTACAACATTTAAAAACAGTATTCAATTTGAAACATACAACACATATACAATACAAATTATTGGGCCACCAATAATAATCCCATGCATCTCGTAACTAAAATCACAATCCAAGATTCGTCGTCCATGATTTGATTACATTTTCTTGCCCTGATGAAGGGAGTTGGACTGGGTGGCCTTAAGTATTTTCTGTTGGTCATGGGGGTTCTGTGTGGGAAGTTTGTCACGATTCTGTCGTTTGTGAGGTTCAGAATGCTCTTTGATTGTAGGTGAACTGTGAATCCCAGTGACTACAACTCCCAAATGTCAAGGTCTATTTCCCCCAAACTCCATCTGTATTCATATTTGGGCCTATTGAGTCCTTGTGCCAAGTTTGGTCCAGATCCATCATTGTTTGAGTCCACAGTGCTCTCTGGATGTAGGTGAACTACAACTCCCAAACTCAAGGTCAATGCCCACCAAACCCTTCCAGTGGTTTTCTGTTGGTCATGGGAGTTCTGTGTGCCAAGTTTGGTTCAATTCCATCGTTGGTGGAGTTCAGAATGCTCTTTGATTGTAGGTGAACTATAAATCCCAGTAACTACAACTCCCAAATGACAAAATCATAATTTTTTGAGTGATTGTCACTCCTTGTGTTGTGAGACGTTTTGTTGCCAAATTTGGTGTGATGTTGTTCATTGGTTCTTTTGTTTTTAAGGCACTCATTATACACAGAGCATTTATATATAGATAGATAGATAGAAGAAGATATCTATATAAATAAAAAATGTAATGTTTGTTTGTGATATTCACAGAACTCAAAAACCACTGGGGAAATTGACACCAAATTTGGACACAAGACACCTAACAACCCAATGTTTGTCCTTCACTCAAAAATTAAAGATTTTGTCATTTGGAACTTGTAGTTGCTGGGATTTATAGTTCACCTACAATCAATACTAGAGACAAAGTTGAAGTACTTTGACCACATCATGAGGAGACAGCAAAGCCTAGAGAAGACAATTATGCTGGGAAAAGTGGAAGGTAAAAGGAAGAGGGGCCGACCAAGGGCAAGATGGATGGATGGCATCCTTGAAGTGACTGGACTGACCTTGAAGGAGCTGGGGGTGGTGACTGCCGACAGGGAGCTCTGGCGTGGGCTGGTCCATGAGGTCACGAAGAGTCGGAGACGACTGAACGAATGAACAACAACAACAACAATCAAAGAGTATTCTGAACCCCACCAACGATGAAATTGAACCAAACTTGGCACACAGTTCTCCCATGACCAACAGAAAATACTGGAAGGGTTTGGTGGGCAGTGTGGCTTTGGAGTTGTAGTTCACCTACATCCAGAGATCACTGTGGACTCAAACAATGATGGATCTGGACCAAACTCTACATGAATACTCAATATGCCCAAATGTGAACACTGGTGGAGTTTGGGGAAAATAGAATCTTGACATTTGGGAGTTGTAGTTGCTGGGATTTATAGTTCACCTACAATCACAGAGCATTCTGAACCCCACAAGATAGAATTGGGACAAACCTCCCACCCAGAACCCCCATGTGGGCCACAGCAACGCGTGGCAGGGGACGACTAGTATATATATATATATATATATAGAAAGAGAGAAGATAGATAGATTGTATGTGTGTATCTATCTATCTATCTATCTATCTATCTATCTTGTAAGCCGCTCTGGAATAAATATATCCCAGAATATCAAGGCAGAAAATCGTCTCTGGTTTTACATCTACTGAATTGGACATGGCTCTCAATAAATGTAAAAATGGCAAAGCAGCTGGCTTGGATGATCTACGGATGGAACAAATCAAGAACTTTGGTCCAAAAGCAAGGCGCTGGTTGTTGGAGCTGATGAACAACTGCACTGCATCCTGTCAGATCCCCAAAATCTGGAGGAAAGCAAGAGTCATCGCCATCTTGAAGCCAGGCAAAGACCGTAATGATCCAAAAAGCTACAGACCAATCTCCCTGTTGTGCCACCTCTACAAAGTTCTGGAGAGACTTATTTTGCATAGAATTATGGAAAAAATAGACCCCTGTCTGATCCCACAGCAAGCTGGCTTCAGGAAAGGCAAAAGCTGCACATCGCAAGTGCTGAACCTGACTCAGCACATAGAAGATGGCTTTGAAAGGCAGCAGATCACAGGAGCTGTCCTCATAGACCTGTCAGCAGCCTATGATACTGTGAACAACTGCCTCCTCCTGAGAAAAATGTATAATATCACAAAGGACGACCACCTCACCCGCCTCATAGGAAACCTGCTACAAAACAGGAGCTTTTTGTTGAGTTCCAGGGCCAGAGAAGCAGATGGCGGAAACAGAAGAACGGCCTGCCTCAGGGGAGCGTGCTTGCTCCATCCATGTTCAACATCTACACAAATGACCAGCCACTGCCAGAAGGGACAGAGTTTCATCTATGCTGATGATCGTGCCATTACTGCTCAAGCAGGGAGCTTTGAGATGGTAGAACAGAAGCTCTCCGAAGCTCTAGGTGCTCTTACTGCCTATTACAGGGAAAACCAACTGATCCCTAATCCATCTAAAACACAGACATGCGCCTTTCACCTTAAGAACAGACAAGCATCCCGAGCTCTGAGGATTACCTGGGAAGGAATCCCACTGGAGCATTGCAGCGCACCCAAATACCTGGGAGTCACTTTGGACCGTGCTCTGACCTACAAGAAGCACTGCCTGAACATCAAGCAAAAAGTGGGTGCTAGAAACAATATCATACGAAAGCTGACTGGCACAACCTGGGGATCACACCAGACACAGTGAAGACATCTGCCCTTGCGCTATGCTACTCTGCTGCTGAGTATGCATGCCCAGTGTGGAACACATCTCACCACACTAAAACAGTGGATGTGGCTCTTAATGAGACATGCCGCATTATCACGGGGTGTCTGCGCCCTACACCACTGGAGAAATTACACTGTTTAGCTGGTATTGCACCACCTGACATCCGCCGGGAAGTAGCAGCCAATAGTGAAAGGACCAAGGCAGAGACATCTCCAGCTCATCCCTTGTTTGGGTATCAGCCAGCACGTCAACGACTTAAATCAAGAAATAGTTTTCTAAGATCTACAGAGACACTCGCTGGAACACCCCAGCAAGCAAGAGTCCAAAAGTGGCAGGCTCAAACCCACACCTCAATCAATGGCTGATACCAAATGAGAGACTCCCCCTGGGCACACAGAAGACTGGGCGACTTGGAAGGCGCTGAACAGACTGCTCTCTGGCACCACGAGATGCAGAGCCAACCTTCAGAAATGGGGCTACAAAGTGGAATCCTCGGCATGCGAGTGCGGAGAAGAACAAACCAGACCACCTGCTGCAATGCACCCTGAGCCCTGCCACATGCACAATGGAGGACCTTCTTGCGGCAACACCAGAGGCATTCCAAGTGGCCAGATACTTGTCAAAGGACATTTAACCAAATACCAAATTTGCAAAATCTGTGTGGTTTTTCCCTTTTTTTTCTTTTTCTTTTTGATCTCTGTGTTTGTTTTGCTCTGTTAGAATTGTAATACAATGGTTGCTGATGACACGATAAATAAATAAATAAGGCAGAAAATCCCACAATATCTGCTTTGAACTGGTTTATCTGAGTCCACACTCATATAATGTGGGATTTTCTCCCTTGCTATTCTGGGATATAGGCCTGTGTGGAGAGGCCCTGAGATCTCATTCCACAAGCGCTGGCGGTTTGTTCAAAGAACGAACCGTGAGCGCATGCGCAACGCGCCACATGCAATTGGCCACTTTGGACGGTACCTTTCCCAAATCAGTCAGTGGAGACGCGGCGGTCCCTGAAGCGTTTCCTATTGGCTCAGCTGACGCTGGGATCAGGGCACGTGCGCGGTTGCTAGGCAACCCACCACAGCGGCTGGGCCTGTGGCGAGGGAGGGAGCGTCGCGACGTCGGAACTGACGCGAGGTGCGGACAGAGCAGGGGGGCCGTTGTTTGGGGTCGCCAGCAGTGGGGAGTCGGTTTTGTCGCAATGTGAAACGCTGAAAGCCGACTGGGCGGAATAGGAAGCGTGACGGCAGAGTGTGTGCCTGTGTACTCATAAACTGAATGTTTATTTTTCCCTCTCAGAGAGGACTGTCACTGATTGGCTGTCCCTCTAGTCCCGCCCCCTGCCAGTCAGTTTCCAGGAGCAACGTCCTTGGTCTTTATTGCACGTGGCGATGGCTCATAGTCACCCCTGTTTTGACCATAAAGGATGCACAGAACTTCCTACGTCCCGTAGAAGTGAGCTGTAGGCCAGGAATGGGCATCTCTGGCCTTCCAGCTCCAGGTCCCTATTATCCCCCATCTTTGGTTTTGCTGATGGGCATTGATGTTTTCATTGGGACAGTCTGTGGATATGGAGGTCCAGCTATACAGTCCCAGGCCCCTCCTGAGATTGTAGATTATGCTTCTTCTTTCTAAGCTATTTTTCCAAAGGAGGGGTTACCATTGTGACTTTCCTTTCCACAGGACTTTGTTTTGGGCATTCTCAGGTCTCAGATTGGCAGCACACATCTCTTCGTTGATGGTATCCATCTTTTCTTTGGCTGTCTGCGTGGTCGGCACCTGCAGTCTCCAAATGTAGTGCTGTTTGTGCTACTGATGTTGGTTTTCTTTATGTTTTGTGTATATTGTTTATATACTTTGATGTTTTATACTTTATTGTTATGTTGTTTATTTTATTGCAATGTATTGTCGAAGGCTTTCATGGCCGGGATCACTGGGTTGTTGTAGGTTTTTTCGGGCTATATGGCCATGGTCTAGAGCAGGGGTTCTCAAACTTTTTAAACAGAGGGCCAGGTCACAGTCTTTCAAACTGTTGGAGGGCCGGATTATAATTTGAAAAAAACATAAATTCCTATGCACACTGCACATATCTTATTTGTAGTGCAAAAAACACTTTAAACAATACAATAATTAAAATGAAGAACAATTTTAACAAATATAAACTTAATAGTATTTCAGTGGGAAGTGTGGACCTGCTTTTGACTGATGAAATAGGATTGTTGTTGTGTGCTTTCAAGTCGTTTCAGACCTAGGTTGACCCCGTATGAGGGCCGGGTAAATGACCTTGGAGGGCCGCATCCGGCCCCCGGGCCTTAGTTTGAGGACCCCAGGTCTAGAGGCATTTTCTCCTGACGTTTTGCCTGCATCTATGGCAAGCATCCTCAGAGGTAGTGAGGTTTGTTGGAACTAGGAAAAGGGGGTTATATACCTTTGATCAGGGTTTCCTATTAGTTTTCCCCCACTCAGGACCTTTTTTCCTATTAGGGACATTTGTTGTGAACCCAGATATATCTTCTATCTCTAGAATAAATATCTAACTATCTATCTCATCATCATAGGCCAGCGTTTCTCAACCTGGGGGTCAGGACCTCTGGGGGGATCGCAAGTGGGTGTCAGAGGGGTCACCAAAGACCATCACAAAACACAGTATTTTCTGGGTTGTTGTAGGTTTTTTTGGGCTATATGGCCATGGTCTAGAGGCATTCTCCCTGACGTTTCGCCTGCATCTATGGCAAGCATCCTCAGAGGTAGTGAGGTCTGTTGGAACCAGGCAAAAGGGTTTATATACCTGTGGAATGACCAGGATGAGACAAAGGACTCTTGTCTGCTGGAGCTAGGTGTGAATGTTTCAACTGACCACCTTGATTAGTATATAATGGCTTGACAGTGCCTAGAGCAAACTTTTGTTGAGAGGTGATTAGATGTCCTTGTTTGTTTTCTTTTTTAAAAAAATATTTTTATTTTATCATAGTTATTACATTTGTTATACATTTGTTTTACAGCAGTTACAATACGCCTAACATATTTTAACATCTAGTATTCTTATTCTGCTTAAACATATTTTCTATTCCTCACTGCTGTGCTCCCCTCCCCCCTCTCAAGCCACGACTTTTACATGTCGCCTGTCCAAAATCTCAATTCTTCTTGTGGCGGTAACTTTCCTTCTTTATTTTTTAATCCTTTTACAATAAATCTTCTCCATACATCATCAAAATCACTTTGTTTCCATATAACTCTTTTAACTTTTAATATACATGTCAGCTTATCATTTATTGGCAGTTTCCATACTTCCTTGTACCACTCCTCTATTTGTATATTTATTTCTTTTTTCCAATTCCTTGCTATAAGCAGTTTTGCTATTGTTAATAAATTTGTTATCGCTTCTTTATCCTCTTTTTTCAATTGATTATTGTTATATATTGATATTAAAGCTATACTAGGACTACTCTCTATTTTCGTATTAATTATATCTTCTATTTCTCTAAATACTTACCCCCAAAAATTATTTACATATTTACATTGCCACCACATATGTATATATATGTTCCTGGTTCTCAACACCCTCTCCAACAATTTTTTGAATAATTTGTATTTATGTGTGCTGATCTTACTGGTGTTAGATACCATTTCCATATTAACTTATAATAATTTTCTTTAACCCGTATTGATAGGTTTTTTAGATGTCTTTGTCTCCATAATTGTTGCCATTCTATTTCATTTATTTTTATTCCTAAGTCTCCTTCCCAGACCTCCTTGAGGGTGTTGTTTTTTGTGTTTCCTTCCTTTATTTCAATTATTATCTTATATATTTTACTGGTTGTTCCTTTCAAATTTTTATGCTCTTCTACAACCCTTCCATTCTGTATAATTTGTTCAAATTGATTAAGCTTGCTTCCGTTTTTATTATTTTTTCCCCAATTTTTAAACCATTGTTCTAATTGTATACAATGGAACCATGTCAATTTTATTCCTCTAAATTCTTCCAAATCCTTGTTTGTTTCCTCTCTGTTGTTGTGCTGTTGTAATTTTAGAGTTTTTTAATACCGGTAGCCAGATTTTGTTCATTTCCATGGTTTCCTCCTTTCTGTTGAAATTGTCCACATGCTTGTGTATTTTAATGGCTTGTCTGTGTAGTCTGACATGGTGGTTGTGAGAGTGGTCTAGCATTTCTGTGTTCTCAAATAAAATGCTGTGTCAAGGTTGGTTCATCAGGTGCTCTGCTATGGCTGACTTCTCTGTCTGAAGTAGTCTGCAGTGCCTTTCATGTTCCTTGATTCGTGTTTGGGCAATGCTGTGTTTGGTGGTCCCTATGTAGACTTGTCCACAGCTGCATGGTATACGGTAGACTCCTGCAGAGGTGAGAGGATCCCTCTTGTCCTTTGCTGAACGTAGCATTTGTTGGATTTTCTTGGTGGGTTTGTAGATAGTTTGTATGTTGTGTTTCCTCATCAGCTTCCCTATGCGGTCAGTGGTTCCCTTGATGTATGGCAAGAACACTTTTCCTCTGGGTGGATCTTCATCTTGACTCTCGTGGCTTGTTCTTGGTCTTGCAGCTCTTCTGATTTCTGAGGTGGAGTATCCATTGGCCTGTAGAGCCCAGTTGAGGTGGTTCAGTTCATCTTGGAGGAGGTGGGGTTCACAGATTCTTTTTGCACGGTCTGCCAAGGCTTTAATGGTGCTTCTTTTTTGACTTGGGTGATGGTTGGAGTTTTTATGTAGATATCTATCTGTGTGTGTGTGTTTTCTGTAAACGGTGTGCAATTTGTATTTTTGTATTGTAATTTGTTGTTCGGGCTTGGCCCCATGTAAGCGGGGTATAAATAAAGTTTATTATTACTTTTTATTATTATGTGGCTATATCACTGTAGTCTTGCTTCCTACATTTTCTTGGTAATCACTTTTGTTCCTAGACTTTGACGGATGTCATCATGTGGCATGTGGTCGAGAAGTGTCAAGCCAAGTGTCCATCATTGTCATTTCCATGGTGTTAAGGGCGTGTTCATGTTTCTTAGGCCCCTTCCACACAGCTGTATAAAATCCACATCAAACTGCATTATATGCTAGTGTGGATGCAGATAATCCAGTTCAATTCAGATGGATTATCTGCCTTGTTATGTCTGGGTTATATGGCTGTGTGGAAGGGCCAGCACTCTGCCCCATAGAGGGCTACCTGGTGAACAACTGTAGTGTAGATCTTAGCCTTGAGTTGTTCAGGCATTTTTGAGTCACACAGAATGCCAGTAGTTTGCCACCATTTCAATCAGGCTGCATTTATTGGTGACCGTACATCTGGCATTGTATTACCATCTATGGAGACCAGTGACTCTAGGGGCCATTCCACACAGGCCTATATCCCAAATTATCAAGGCAGAAAATCCCACATTATCTGCGTGCGGACTCCCTCCTGTCCTTTAGAAGAATGGTAAAAACTTGGCTGTGGGACCAAGCTTTTGGGACAGGGCAATAAAGCAGCAATAGGAAAGATTACAAAGCCAATTAGATTTGATGCTGATGACCAAGACGGTTTTAAACGGTGTATTTTAATATTTTGATATATGCTTTTAATGTTTATGTATACCCATATGAATTCTTGTCCCGGCATTGAATGTTAGAGTCCCCTTCGGGGTAAGAAGGGCAGAATATAAATGTTTTAAATAAATAATAACCCAGTTTAAGGCAGGTATTGTGGGATTTTCTGCCTTGATATATTCTGGGATATAGGACTGTGTGGAAGAACCCTGGGCATTTCAATTGGGTGGCCTTCTTTAGTGCTTGTCCATTGATTTGAATTGTTTGAAGGCCACATTCAAGATACTCTGTTTTGGGTATGTTCAGCTGAAGTCCATTTTCACTGAGGGCCCTGCCACACAGCCCTATAACCCAGAATATCAAGGCAGATAATCTACAATGTCTGCTTTGAACTGGGTTATCTGAGTCCACACTGCTATATAATCCAGTTAAATGTGGATTTTATACAACTGTGTGGAAGGGGCCTAAGACTGTCACTCTATGTCTGCAGCTGTTGTTTGAGGGCTGCACGTTTTTGGTAGCCTAGTGCTATATCACCTGCATATAATAATAATAATAATAATAATAATAATAATAATAATAATAATAATAACTTTATTTATACCCCGCTACCATCTCCCCAAGGGACTCGGTGCAGCTTACATGAGGCCAAGCCCACAGTACATCAGTAAAACAAAGGCAATAACAAAAACAATCAATTCAAAACAATATAAATCACATAAACAAACAATAAACAATATAGGAGTGTTCAGGGCTGCATAGTCTGCAAATCTGCTGTAGCTGTGTCCATGCAGAGTATGAATGATAAGTGAGAGTGCATGCTAACAGGGATGTTGAAGGGTGGTGAAATCCCTGCACGGCAGCAGATCATACTTGTTGTCATAGATTATGCAGCCTGGCAATAATAATAATAATAATAATAATAATAATAATAATAATAATAATAATAATAATACCCAGAGGGCATGTAGTACATTCGTTCTGATCACTTTTCCCCCAAAAGTGCACAGAACACATTCAGGCCTTTTCTATACTATCCTTATATCTCAGATCTGATCCCAGGTTATCTGCTTTAAACTGGATTATACGAGTCACTACTGCCATATAATCTGGGATAACAGTATAAATCTGGGGTCAGGTCCTGAGATATAAGGACAGTGTAGAAGGGGCCTCAAAAGTAAAAAACCAGATTCCTTTTTCTCTAGAGCTTCATTAAGTTATTCATACTTTTACTTAAGAAAACAATGAGTTTTTTGGCACAGTTTGAGGTGTTATTTGCATTCATCATATTCTGTCTCTCTTTTTTCAGCAGCTCTAATGGAAAGCCCAGTTATGTTCATGGATAGTAAGGATGTATCATCTGCAGCCTTCTCTGGAGAAACAAATATGATAGATGAACCTGGTACTTCTTTCAGTAGAGAAACAGGTGGCCTTGAAGACATGTAAGTGGTGATTATATAGGATCTTCAAGTCAATCTGTGAGTAAGTCCACGTTCACTCTTTGCTGAGAGATCTGTGACATATATTATTTAAATATATTTATCAAACCCCGAGTGGTTGAGATAAATATGAGCACTGAATATTTGTGGTTTGGATTACCTTATATTTTCTCTGTATGTCATGGTAGATAACACTATGTAACACAATTTTGTTCCTGGGTTATAAACGTCATTTCCAAATTGCTTATGTCATAAAAATATGGGAAAGGTTTATTGAACTGCAAAACCTTTGTTTTTGCAGAACATCCTGCAGCACATTTTGCTAGTTTTTCAATGAATATCTCATAGAGCCTCAACCAATTCAACATAGTTTGTGGCAGCCACAAAAAACAAAGTTTCCAGAGCATGACAATTACTTTCAAAATAAGTACCACACAATTTAACAGAAAATAACACTTTCAAACCAGTAACAAATTTTGTTACATAGTGCAGTGAAAAAAGCAAAGTTTTTTTATTTATTTCCTTGCAATACATGTCCCTTCTTTGAATAAATGCTGAACAGAATTGGGAGGGAGAAGGTCTCTGGGTTAGAATAACTTCCTGAGAGCAGGCAGCAATACACTTGTGGTAAACACTTATTGTGTATTGTAGAAGGCTTTCACTTCCAGAATTACTGGGGTGTTGCATCTTCAAAGGATCTTGTTATTGTGCCATCACTGTACATGACTGTTTACAAGTAAAAAAAATTATAAAAGTTCCCAGCCCTAATGCTTACAATATAAACAAGATATGACAGAAAAGGAAAAGAAGATGAAACGTGGGAAGTGATGAAGTCCAACAATACGACTCAATACGGCTCAAAGACCACAGAATGGAAGAAAGATCTTTCCATTGCTTCTAGGCCTACACATGATGAAGCTCTTATCTCCCTCTCTCTGAAACCAAGGCCTTTGATTTAGAGGGAAGGCCTTTCATCTGCTTCTGGGCTTAGGCATGAAGGAGCTATGTCTGCCTCATCTCTTCCTCCAAGGCCAGGGCAGTTGCAGTTGTGATTGAGATTATAGTGGCTTTCTCTGTTATTGTTATTATTTATTGTTTACTTTTGTGTATGAGATTTATTTTAACTGTTGTATTGATTGTTTTTTATTGCTTTTACTATTGATGTACTTTGGGCTCGGCCTCATGTAAGCCGCACCGAGTCCCTTGGGGAGATGGTAGCGGGGTATAAATAAAGTTGTTTATTATTATTATTATTATTATTATTATTATACCACTTTTCAAAATTTCATCAACAAAAACATCCTTGACTACTGTTCTGTCGTGCGCCGGGCCTGTAATAGCTGTACTTTTCTATAGGACGTATACTTTAAGCCCAGCGGGAAGCCAGGGTGCCTCAAAGAGAGGGATTTTTCTGAAGTGATGGTCTTTAGAGTCTTTAATGATACAACAAAGTCTTTATTATGGAACAAACAACAAATTTTCAATAGTTCAAACAACACTTCGAGGCTTCCTTAGTCTAGTCTTCAATGGACTGGCACCTGACTTCGATCAACTGAACCTTCTCTGTAGGAAAAAACCCTTTTTAACCTCTCCCAGGCTGCTTTCTATCTATGCCTCGTCGGTGTGGGTGCTACTACCGAATCCAAGTGCGTCTGGCTATCAAGCAGACCTTACCGGCTGAGGCTTGAAGATATATCAGCTGAGTTCAGTAAATCAGTTTCCCTGGATGGTCAGTTTCCCTGGATGATCCTTTTTCCTTGGATGCTCCTTTTCCCCTGGATGCTCTTAAGAAAGGAAGTTTTTCTACGGGATGAGCTGGTCTACGTCCTATAGCTTAGCTACCTTGTGTGAGACCGACCAAAAAATGGCTCCTTTCCCTCCCAGAGCCCAGAATAAGGGGTGGAACCAAAACTTAATTATGATGGACAGGAGGCCTGTCCAATGACAGCAAAACAGATAACAGAAAGAAAATAATGTTGGAGCTCCTGGTACAGCCGTATCAGCACAACTACTGTATTTGCTTATGTATACAATATATAAATGCTATAGAGCTCCTCCCACTATCTTTAACTGCCATTCCTCTGGCCAGGAAGTGGGAATCAGGTAGCCAGACACAGCTTCATCATGTCCTATTGCCTATATCTTATTTATTATTACATCTTATTTACATTGTAAGTCTGATAGCAAGTTAACTACAGTTTTGTTAGCCACTCTGATAACCTTTGTGGCTGAAGATCGGGGTATAAATAAATAAATACCCACACTTACTCAAGTCTAATACACCATCAAATCTAATGTGCACCTACATTTTCAAAACCCTGAAACCAGAAAAAGTATTTGCTGATGTAAGTAATGTGCAGCAGCAAAAAGTGCACTCTTTGTAATATGGCCATTATAGTTGCTGTCTGCTTAGAATTCCTTCTTTAAAAGCAAAAGTGTTAGAACACCAAAGCTTCCAGCAATGGAAAGAAAAAAATAAGAGTGCTTTTATGCTGTAGAAAGAGTCCACTTTAGCTGCCTTAGTTCAATGTTGTGGAGTTGTGGGGGCTATAACTTGACATGGTCTTGAGCCAAAGAATGTGGATGCTTCACTAAACTACAAATCCCAGGACTGAATAGCATTGAGCTATGACAATTAAATTATAAATGATATCCCTTAAATTATAAATGATATCCCTCAAATTATAAATGGACCCTCTGAAGCAACTTCTCCTTTTGACTTTGGCTCAGCACTAAGATTACCGTATTACACAAATATAATGCACATCCTAATTTTGGCAAGGTAATTTAGCCAAAAAAAGGTGAACATTAGATTCGAATAAATATCTGGGGCACAAAACAAAATGTTAGGGCGGTTTGCATAGTTTGGGGGTTGCATCGTCTTCCCCCTCAAACAGCAACAAAGATTTTTTTTAATGTTAACCATCTTTTTAAAATGTAATCTGCTTCTAGTGATTAGCTTTTTTATATCTTTTAGTTTGATGTCTAATTCTGTTAAGTGATTAACTCAATGCTCTTACTATTTTGTATTATGTTTTATTGCTTTAATGTGTTTGTATCTTTCGGGAATTGATTGTTTGCCTTTTTGTGTGTAAACTTCCGAGTCCCTTTGGGGAGATAAGTTTGTTGTTGTTCATTCGTTCAGTCATCTCCGACTCTTCGTGACCTCATGGACCAGCCCACGCCAGAGCTCCCTGTCGGCCGTCACCACCCCCAGCTCCTTCAAGGTCAGTCCAGTCATTTCAAGGAGAACTAATTTATGAGGCCATAAAGAAAGAAGACTCCGGGGAATGTGGAATGCGGAAGAACTTCATCGGTGTCGTTGATGGACGATGAAAAGCAGCAGCTCCCCTGGCGGCCAGAAAAAAAAGTTAAATAGCCTTTGTCTGTTAAATGTTGTTTGTCAAACTGGCATTGAATGTTTGCCATATATGTGTTTACTGTAATCCGCCCTGAGTCCCCTGCGGGGTGAGAAGGGCGGAATATAAGAACTGTAAATAAATAAATAATAAATAATCCATCCATCTTGCCCTTGGTGGCCCCTCTTCCTTTTACCTTCTACTTTCCCCAGCATAATTGTCTCCTCTAGGCTTTGCTGTCTCCTCATGATGTGGCCAAAGTACTTCAACTTTGTCTCTAGTATCCTTCCCTCCAATGAGCAGCCGGGCTTTATTTCCTGGAGGATGGACTGGTTGGATCTTCTCGCAGTCCAAGGCACTCTCAGAACTTTCCTCCAACACCATAGCTCAAAAGCATCTATCTTCCTTCGCTCAGCCTTCCCTAAGGTCCAGCTCTCACATCCGTAGGTTACTACAGGGAATACCATGGCTTTGACTAGGCGGATCTTTGTTGCCAGTGTGACAATCTATAAATAAGATGTTTAAATTATTATTATTATTATTATTATTATTTATAAAATGCTCATTGTGCCAAAAAAGCTCCCAAAATAAGAAAGATTTTTATTCCACAGATGTGTATCCTGTGGAATTATTTTATGAAGATGCCAGTTTTATTATGAAACTCTTTGATAAGTGTTCATAGATGTTTGAGTACCAAGGTTTCACATCCACATTCATGTAATATCTTCTTTTAGCTGTTTCTTTTTGTATGTCTAACTGTAATTTGTTTCAAAAATTATTAATGACAGGAAATTAACTGGGGATGTTTCTGAAGACTCCAGCAGTACTAATATCAAACCAAAATCCATCCAGCGTGCCAAAACGTGGTCAGATGAAGTTGAGAATCTGTACAGATTTCAGCAGGCTGGATATAGGGATGAAATTGAGTATAAACAAGTGAAGCATGTTGATATGGTAAGATATGATAATTAAGGAAATATTATGTTATTTATTGAGGAATCCTGTTCTTTTAAAGGAGATTTTGAAATTTTGCTTCTCCCAGAATTGCTGCTCTAAAGTGTGCTCCTGCTCGTGTTTAAAGCCTCTAAAGCAGTGATTCTCAACCTGTGGGTCCCCAGATGTTTTAGCCTTCAACTTCCGTAAATCCTAAGAGCTTGTAAACGGGCTGGGATTTCTGGAAGTTGTAGGTCAAAACACCCAGGGACACACAGGTTGAGAACTACTGCTCTAAAGTGTGCTCCTTCTCGTGTTTGCACCATGTGTCATTTGACCACAGTGTTTTTGACTTTCCATATTAAGTGGTTATTAGTGTAAATATGCCCAGGGTTGCAGAAATGAAAAAGGGCCAAGAGTATATTGATAATAAGCACAAATGTTGATGAATATACAAATGTGGACACAATTGCTCTATTTGTTCCCAGTTTATGTATTTTGAAAAGTCACTCAGAACTGCTTCTCAATGAAGGAAGGGCTGAACCAACTATTTCTGTCATCTATATAAATAAAAATGTAATGTTAGTTCGTGCTACCATCAGAACTCAAAAACCACTGGGGGAATTGACACCAAATTTGGACACAAGACACCTAACAGTCCAATTTATGTCCTCCACTCAAAAAAATTGATTTTGTCATTTGGGAATTGTCGTTGCTGGGATTTATAGTTCACCTACAATCAAAGAGCATTCTGAACTCCACCAGTGATGGAATTGGGCCAAACTTAGCACACAGGGCTCCCATGACCAACAGAAAAAATTGGAAGGGTTTGGTGGACATTGACCTTGAGTTTGGGAATTATAGTTCACCCACATCCAGAGAGCACTGTGGACACAAATAATGATGGATCTGGACCAAACTTGACACAAATATTCCATATGCCCAAATATGAACACAGATGGAGTTTGGAGGAAAATAGACCTCGACATTTGGGATTTGTAGTTACTGGGATTTATACTTCACTACAATTAAAGAGCATTCTGAAACCCACAAACGACAGAAATGGGGCAAACTTCCCACACACAACCCCCATGACCAACAGAAAATTCTTAAGGCCATCCAGTCCAACTCTCTTCACCAGGGCAAGTAAATGTAATCAGAGCCCTCCTGACAAAGAGGCATCCAGTCATAAATATAGATAGAGAGATATGATTCTCTCTCACACACACAGATATAGTATCATAGATTTGAAAGAGGCCGTTAAAGAAGGACTATGATATGTTGCATATTCCAGAGTAGGCAAACCAGACACTCTCCACATCAACACTGACAAAGAAACAACAAGAAATACTGTTTACTCACAAGCATAAAGGAATCACATATATTAGAAACCAACACTTTCTCATTACTTTATTTTCCAGATCACCAGACTGGGCCACAGCAACGTGTGGCAGGGGACAGCTAGTCTATATAAATAAAAATGTAGTGTTCGTTTGTGGGATTAACATAACTCAAAAACCAATGGATGAATTGACACCAATACACCTATCAGGCCAACAAGCGACCATCACTCATAAAAACACAGAAAAACACAGCAGAAGAGATGTTAAAAGCCAAAAAACAAAAAATACATTTCAATGCATGCGCAAAACCACATATATATATACACAAACACACACATACACACATGTATATACACACAAAATACATATACACAGACTGGGCCACAGCAACGCGTGGCAAGGGACGGCTAGTGCATCCATAAAAATGGATTCCCTCTGCCTTTTAAAAACAATAACCAGTGCTTCCTTTACTCCTCTTAACTAATTAATATGAATCATACTCTTAATGGGTAAAGGAAGGAAGAGAATTGCTAGAATGGTAGCTACATCTCCTTTAAATTCAGCCTGGCATAATATAGCATAGTAGCATTTGATCAAAGGATTGCATGCAGATGCTTTTGCCAGATATGGTGATGTGACAATGTCCCTCTTTAGTTGCAATGAATCTGGACTGGGGAATGTTATTGGAATGCTTTGATGTCTATTCTTTAAACACAATGCATTGACTGTTTGACGTATTTCCTCTCCAGAGGCACTTAATGCTGTAATCAGGTTGTACACATAGGCCCTGCAGCATGTCATTCCTAAGAGTAGAAAGAAACAACTCCAACAATAGGTTAATTCTAGGTAAATGTCCTATTCAGTTGTGGTCATCACAAAGTACTGAGATTTATAGTGGGATTTATGCAAACACTGTTTTTTTTTCCAGAGAATTTCTCATCCTTAGAATGTGTTGTTTGATTCCTTTAGTTGTCATAGTGATCTGATGAGATTTATTTTGAAAACAAAATCAGTCAAGATCACATGCATGGACCACCAAACACTCTTCTTAACATTATGGGTCCTTCTATTTTCATCAAAGCAGATTTTACCACAGATATTTGCATAAGAAAGTCTTGTGCCCTAAATGTACTTGAAAGTATCCTTTACTAATTGGGATGAATGGTCCACAAGCCTCATGAGTGATGGTCATAAGACTTGGTAAAACAGACAAATATTGTAGGACTGAAGGTTTGGCTTTGTACACTTTGGTTGTCCGTATCATTGTAATGTTTATGGAAGCTGCTGCTATAACTGAAGTCTTACAAGGGAAGAAGGAAAATGTTCGTAACATTTTGTTTTATTTTATGAAACAGGCATGAGAGTTGATGGGGTTGAAAAGACAAGAATGCAAAACATCAGCACTCGATGAATTGCTCAACGTTTCCTTTATAGAACATAAAAATCAATCTAGCAACTTTGTCTAGTACACCGAAAACATCAATACAGTATAAATGAAACCTGGAATAGAATATTGTACCATGAATTATGCTCAAGTTCACAGCCTCTCCATGCATACATGCATCCATTAGCTTTTCCTTTTCTTACCCATCAGCAGTCTGTGCGCTTCAATGGGTGTTGTTGGGTTTATATGTACAGTGGTCCCTCGCTACTTCATGGTTCACTTATCGCAGCCTTGCTGTTTCGTGGTTTTTTAAAAAAGAATTTACATAGTGAGGGAACACTGAGTATTGAGGAGGTGTCGCAGGGCCCCCAGGCGGTGATGAGGAACAGGAAGAGGAAGTTAAGGGCGAGGGGGGAAGAAGAGCCGCCCCCTCAGCTTCCTTACCTTCCTATTCCTTGTTGTTGCCTAGGGGCTTTTGCTGGGGGCCTGCAAGGTTCCATTCTGCCTCCCATGCTCTTTAACATCTACATGAAACCGCTGGGTGAGGTCATCCGGAGTTTTGGAGTTGGTTGCCATCTCTATGCAGATGACACACAACTCTACTACTCTATTCCACCTAACTCCAAGGAAGCTGGACGAGTGTCTGACCACTGCGGCTGTCTGGATGAGGAAGTACAAGCTGAAGATCAATCCCGACAAGACAGAGGTCCTCCTGGTCGATCGTAAACCAGATTGGGTTATAGGGTGGCAACCTGTGCTGGACGGGGTTACACTCCCCCTGAAGTCACAGGTCCGCAGTTTGGGTGTCCTCCTAGACTCATCACTATCGCTTGAAGCTCAGGCGTTGGCGGTGGCCGGGAGGGCCTTTGCACAATTAAGACTCGTGTGCCAACTGCGACCATACCTTGTGAAGGCGGATCTGGCCAGGGTGGTCCACGCCTTAGTCACTTCCGTATTGGACTACTGTAATGCACTCTACATGGGGCTGCCCTTGAAAACGGCCCGGAAATTTCAATTGGTCCAACGGGCGGTGGCCAGGTTGTTAACTGGTGCTCCTTATAGGGAGAGGTCAACCCTCCTTTTTAAGGAGCTCCACTGGCTGCCATTCATTTTCCGGTCCCAATTCAAGGTGCAGGTGCTTACCTACAAAGCCCTAAACGGTTTGGGACCCGCCTACCTGCGTGACCGCATCTCTGTGTACGAACCCACACGATCTCTTCGTTCATCTGGAGAGGCCCTGCTCATGATCCCACCTGCATCGCAAGCACGATTGGTGGGGACGAGGGATGGGGCTTTCTCTGTGGTGGCCCCTCGACTCTGCAACTCTCTCCCCAAGGACATCAGCAGGCCCCGTCGCTAGCAATCTTTAGGAGGAGCTTGAAAACGTGGTTGTTCCAGTGTGGCTTTCCAGAATAGGAAACTCCTAGCATTATGTCCCAACGCACTTTATCAGAGATCTAGGATATCTGCATGCCCATCCCCCTCCAAAACACTCCACCTGGTCATGCCCAGCACTTTTAATTTTAATTATTACATTTGGCCCTGCCATTGTTTTTAATTGTGTCATTGTGTGTTGTCAATGTTATTGCTTTGTTTTCTGAGTTATTTTGCTGTCTGTTGTTGCTGTTGTTTTTACTATTGTATTTGGGCTCGGCCTCTTGTAAGCTGCACCGAGTCCTTCGGGAGATGGTAGCGGGGTACAAATAAAGGTTTATTATTATTATTATTATTATTATTATTATTATTATTATTATTATTGCTGCTGCTGCTGATTGGGCTTTGCGACTGAGGAGGCGCTGTGGGGCCCAAGCGGCAGCAAGAGGCCCATGTGGCAATGAGGAGGAGGAAGAGGAAGGTAAGGAGGGTGAGGGGGGAAAGAAGAGCCGCTCCCTCGCCCTCCTTACCTTCCTCTTTCTCTCCCTCCTGGCCACTTGGGCCCCACGACTGAGGAGGCATTGCGAGGCCCAAGTGGCAGCAAGAGGTCCTATGTGGTGACGAGGAGGAGGAAGGAAAGGAGCGTGAGGAGGGAAGGTGAGGGGGCGTTCCTACTTCGCGGAATTTCACTTATTGTGGGTGGTCCTGGAAAGTAACACCCGCGATAAGCGAGGGACCACTGTATAGTGTTGTGGCTCAGCTGGAGCCTCAGGCAGAATCATAGAATCAAAGAGTTGGAAGAGATCTCATGGGCCATCCAGTCCAACCTCTGCCAAGAAGCAGGAATATTGCATTCAAATCACCCCTGATAGATGGCCATCCAGCCTCTGTTTAAAAGCTTCCAAAGAAGGAGCCTCCACCACACTCCGGGGCAGAGAGTTCCACTGCTGAACGGCTCTCACAGTCAGGAAGTTCTTCCTCAAGTTCATGGAATCTCCTCTCTTGTAGTTTGAAGCAATTGTTCCGCGTCCTAGTCTCCAGGGAAGCAGAAAACAAGCTTGCTCCCTCCTCCCTGTGGCTTCCTCTCACATGATGATGGGATTCAGATTCATGAAGATGTTCCTGTTGTTTTTGAAGAATCTGAGGAGATTCAGTTTCCCATGGCAAGGAATGTTTCAGATGATGTTTCTGATGTTAGGGAAACTAGCCAGGTGCAGATGGAGGAGGATGGCTCCCAGCCTGATGATTCTCAGGCACCTAACGAGCTATCCGACCTTGAGAGCTATGAAGATTTAGATAGGGAGGATCGCTTACAATTCAAAGTTCGCCGCAGTACGAGGCTTGCTAACAAGAGGGAGGTTAGGGGTCAATGGAATGCGTTCATGCTGGAAAAGTATATTAAACGGGGTGTTTGAAGGCAAATCTTTGTCAGTGCAACTTCTGCGAACAACCTGGTAACTTCTTTGGATTGCCTTGGCTTTTGGGCAATGTTCTTGGCTTCCTGGGACTCTGTCTTGCTGTCATTGAATCTTGTTTGATCGATGTTCTTTGGATTATGCTTCATGCTGTTTGCTATTGAACTTTTGAAACTTACTTTTGCATTTAAGACTTTTCCTTTCTTCAGTAAACTACAAAATCTTCAGCCTTGGTGTGGTTTGGTGTTTGGAGCAAGATGACTCTACTCTGAGCTGCGGCATATATATATATACGAGGGGTATTTTTAAAGTAAGGTCCATTTTGTTGTAGACACTAGTAGTTCGCGCGCATACCGCAACGAGCGCGTGCGTCATGTACCGGCATGCCTCGGGAACAACTGTGCTCAGTTTCCGCTCTGTAGCTAACCTGTATGGTTCTGTTCTGTGCTTTAAAATGTTTAAGACTATCAACTCACCCACCGCATGTGAGGTTCGCTCAGTGATACGGTTTTTGTCAGCAAGGAACCTGCCTGCTGCAGAAATTCATCGACAGATTTGTGAAGTGTACGGTGATACTGTTATGAGTGAAAGCAAAGTGCGTAAGTGGGTACGACAATTCAAAGATGGCCATGACAACGTCCATGATGAGGACGGCTCCAGTCGCCCTTCTTTGATTACAGATGATTTGATTTGATCGCACACGCAAATCTTTGGTTTTTGTGGTCCTCTGTTAGGAGTTTCGGGACCCAACGGGAGCACAGTTTCCTAAACTTTAGGTGTTCAGAAACAATGTTGTAGAGCACTGATCTCGACACGTCAGGAAATTCGTTTGAGAGACCTGTTATTGTGAAGCGCCTGTTCTCACGAATCCTCACTTCAGCTGAAGCCACCAAATCATCTGTAATCAAAGAAGGGCGACCAGAGCGGTCCTCATCATGGACGTTGTCACGGCCATCTTTGAATTGTCGTACCCACTTACGCACTTTGCTTTCACTCATAACAGTATCACCGTACACTTCACAAATCTGTCGATGAATTTCTGCAGCAGGCAGGTTCCTTGCTGACAAAAACCGTATCACTGAGCGAACCTCACATGCGGCGGGTGAGTTGATAGTCTTAAACATTTTTAAAGCACAGAACAGAACCGTACAGGTTAGCTACAGAGCAGAAACAGAGCACAGTTGTTCCCGAGGCATGCCGGTACACAACGCACGCGCTCGTTGCGGTATGCGCGCGAACGACTAGTGTCTACAACAAAACGGACCTTACTTAAAAAATACCCCTCGAATATAGAGAGAGAGAGAGACGGAGGGAGGGAGGGAGGGAGAGAGAGAGTTGTTTTTAAAAAGAGTTATTTTTGTTTTTAAGCAAACCCTGAGATTTCCCCATTTTCTTTTCTTATTGCACACCATCATTGTGTGCAATAAGTGGCCATTTTTCAATTACATAAGTTGAAATTACATACTGAAGATAAAAATATCTGCTGTTTGTATATAGGGCAGGGGCGAGGGATTTGTGTCCCTCCAAATGTTTTTGAGCTATCTCCTCACAGCACTATTCAGCGTAGACAATGATGAGGATGCTCTGGGTTGCAATTCAAGAACACATTGAGAGCTCCATTATTCTCATTTTGATATAGGACAACAAGGACTCCTTTTGTTACTATTTGTGGGATTTGGAACCTGCTCTTTATGCAGTAGCCCCATTTACCTGGTTACAGAAAGAACATGAAAAGTAAACACAATGAAATCACAGTAGTCAATCTTATTCAATGTGAGTGGGGGGGGGGGGGGGGGGGGAGACACCATTACAGCCAAAAGAATTAGATCTTAAACACCTGGCTGGATGAATTGATTTCTGCTTCTTAAAATGTTTTCATCAAGGTTTACCTCCTTTGAAATGATTTTCTAAAGTTGAAAACACCACATCTGAAAAACAGTATCAGGCTTCATTTAAAGCCTATTCGTTTAAACTAGGTCACATAAATTCCAAGTTCAACAGAATAGCATCAGTGAGAGAGTAACAAATAAAGGGAAGTGGAAAATTACCTAGTTGTGTGGGATTCAAGCCATTTTGTATTAATTTATGAATGTATAAGCTAAGAAAATGCATGTGTAGTACCCATATTTGCATGGATTGTCGAAGGCTTTCATGGCCAGAATCACTGAGTTGTTGTAGGTTTTTTCAGGCTATATGGCCATGGTCTAGACTAGAGGCATTCTCTCCTGATGTTTCGCCTGCATCTATGGCAAGCATCCTCAGAGGTATCCTCACTACCTCTGAGGATGCTTGCCATAGATGCAGGCGAAACGTCAGGAGAGAATGCCTCTAGCCAGGGGTAGGGAACCTTTGGCCCTCCAGCTGTGGTGGACTTCAACTCCCACAATTCCTTGAGGCTCGGCATTGGGCCAAGGTAAGCCTTTGGGGCGAATGCCGAGCCTCAAGGAATTGTGGGAGTTGAAGTCCACCACAGCTGGAGGGCCAAAGGTTCCCTACCCCTGCTCTAGACCATGGCCATATAGCCCGAAAAACCCTACATATTTGCATGTCTTTCCCTCTAGCTGGATTGAAGTATGTATTTGTAGGGATTTGCCTACATGATAGGTAACAGAGTTCATATACTTTTAGCAGTTTTATGGAAGAAAACGTTTCAAGAGATGAGGCTTATATTTCACCCTAGAATTGTTTGTGCAACGTATTTATGGATTTATTTAAATTGAATGTGTATTTTCCTAGCTATTTAAAATATATGAGCATTCCCCCTCCTTGTCATTCTGTATAGGTTGAAAGGTGGCCGGAAACTGGATTTGTGAAGAAACTCCAAAGAAGGGACAATACTTTCTATTATTACGACAAGGAAAGAGAATGTGAAGACAAAGAAGTCCATAAAGTGAAAGTTTATGCTTACTAATTTTTGTTACAGTTCAGTATATTTGTTTTGGTGGGGATTTTTTTTAGCTGAAATGTTTTGAAATTATTTTATTGCAGTTATAAATGAAATTGAAAGTATTAAAAGCATGTTTGAGTCTAAATTGATCAGATTTTAAATATCTTACTTTCTCTTTTCAAGACAAATTCATAGAATTATGGTACATAGACTGTGCAGTTATTACAAACAAAAGTTTCATTTAGGGAACAGTGATTCCACTGCTACTTAAATTTAGTACAGGCCATTTTTATGACTCTGTCAACAATTAATATATGTCTCATCAGCACATTTAAATATTTTTCTTTTCTAAAGACAAAGGATATCAATTATGTTTTTAAAAATGGAGAGCACACCTGTAGAATTGGAAATGATTTGCCAGCATTGCTGTTGATAACAACTATTTTTAGTAGTGTCGTTGAGTGCACTTTTGCCACTAGAAAGATAGATAATATATATTCCTATTTGCAAGGTTACACACGGTAGTTCTCTAATGAATACAGTTGGCCCTCTGTTTCCGTAGATTATGCGCTTCCCACATTCAACTATCCACAGCTTGAAAATACATTTTAATGCAAATAGTTAACCTTTAACTATGGAATTTTACACAGTAAGACTTCGGCATCCATGGAGTTTGGTATCCACAGAGGATCTGTCAAGGTCAGACGCCAGCCAATTCATATAATAAAGTTTATTGCTCAAACAAACTCAAAACAGCCCCAAATCAGTCTAAAAGGCATAAAACACTCAATCTTCAGTGTGAAACAGCTCAAAAGACAAAAAAAACCTCCAAAAAGCTAAACCAGAATACAATCTGGACTATCCAGAGATATAATCCAGATTAAATTTAAAATGCTTAAATTCAGTTCAGACTTGCTCCGTCAAACGACTGGAGCAAGAAAACTGTTGAACAATGTTTGCAGCTCACTCCAGTTACTGGGATTTATAGTTCACCTACAATCAAAGAGCATGGCAGGGGACAGCTAGTAGTCAATAAAACAGAAAAAGATGTTTTTCTGAAACTCCCTGCCTTTCTCCATTATCCAGCAGATATTGGCAATTTGGTCTCTCATTCCTCTGCCTTTTCTAAACCCAGCTTGTACATCTGGCAACTCTTGCTCCATGTATTGCTGGGTGTAGAAGAAGGTATTTTGTTTAGATCAAGGTGTCTGCTCTGAGGTTCAGATCTGAATATGGTTACCCACATTTGTCTCCCCACTTATTTGTGTTGTCCCATAAAACAGTTTGCAGCATTCTTATTGCTTAAAGCAGTTCTGTTGGAAACAAAATAATGGAAACTGTCACAATAAAACAGGTTTAATGTTAGGGTACAATGCAAAATTTTGGAGAACCTGCATTGGCTCAGTACCTGCAGCAATGCAGTTATGCCTGCGAAACAAAACAAGACATTTGCCTGATATTGTCTGCTAGCAAGGTAAAAGATTGTCCTCAGCTTTTATGGCAGCTGAGAACAAGTAAACAGCTGCATCATTTGCTCTCTCATAACCAGAACCTTTTTTAGCTCCATCTGTATACTTGAACTGTTTAGATCTATCAGATTTTGCCACGTGAATTCAAAAGTGTCATGATGACATGGTTTAGAATGAATAAAATATAAAGCTGGTTTAAATGCATATGTAATGTAACTGAATTATGGTACACAGTGTTCATGTATAGTCATTGCCAAATTCTCGTTGAATCGTCTATTGTGGAGTCTGTTCATCATCCAGAGATCAGTACCACAGGGAGAACAGGGGGAAAAGAAAGGACAAATAAAACCTTTTCAGGTGAGTCCGTCTGTCAAGAGCAGACGGTAAAGCAGACACTTTGCATGCCAAAGGTTACAAATTTCACTCATAACAACTCCAGTAAAAAAGAATCTCAATAGGGAAGGCCTGATAGGATAGGTTTTGCAGATCAGAGGAGGCAAGACTGAATTAGATGGATCACTAATCTGATTTGTTGTTGTGTGTATATATGCAACCTTGGGACACATTAATGATCTGCCTATTGTAATCTCAATGTAGCATTGACCAACTCCAAGTTGCCACAGTGAAAACATCAATGCAACATTCCAGTTCTTGTGTTGGTTTCAGTTTTGTGTTTTAGACCACATTTTGCAAGAGAGTGTATGTGCTGGCTAATAATTGACAATTTAATTGGAAATCACCTGGACTATGTTTAGTCCAACAAGATAAACATTCAGTTAATAAACAAGCATTTATGTAAGCCAGTGGAAAACTACAGGACAATCTAACCAAAAAGTTACAGTACTAGGTTACCTAGAATGAGAAACACATTTTCCAATAAAACAAAACAAAACAAAACAAAATATTTATTTATCGTGTCATCAGCAACCATACCATTGTATTACATTTCTAACAGAACAAAACAAACAGATTAAAAAACCCCACAAATTTTGCAAACTTGATAGTTGATTAAATGTCCTTTGACCAGTATCTGGCTACTTGGAGTGCCTCTGGTGTTGCCGCAAGGAGGTCCTCCATTGTGCATGTAGCAGGGCTCAGGTTGCATTGCAGCAGGTGGTCTGTAGTTTGCTCTTCTCCACACTCGCATGTCGTGGGTTCAACTTTGTAGCCCCATTTCTTAAGATTGGCTCTGCATCTCGTGGTGCCAGAGCGCAGTCTGTTCAGCACCTTCCAAGTCGGCCAGTCTTCTGTGTGCCCAGGAGGGAGTCTCAACAGATTAAAAAGAACCTAGACTAGTTTAACTGTATGGTTCTTTGCCACCAATCCCCAACTTCAAACAATCCTGCTTCGAAATGCACTTCTTTTCTTATAAAAAAATTAGTTTAAATAATTTTGTGACTTTTATACTAGGTTAAGTCTTAATAAAATGCTTGAGACTAGAAGTGAAGTGTGTGTGTGTGTAGTGGAGAGAGAGAGAGAGAAAAATCTTTAAGATGGGAAGTCTCGACACAAAATTCATTTATATTTCATATACACCTTTTATACAGGGTGAGGCTGCATAACTTCCTTTTTTCAAAACTTAATAAAACCCATTGTATGAATCAGATTTTTTTTTAAATATAGGCGCATACCTAAAGTTTTGTTTTACGTAGTTTTGAAGATTAAATTAGGTAAACCGATTTCTGGAATTTGTCATGACTCTTGCCAGCATAGCAGGCGTTATGTTGGCAGTTTCTTCTTGGATGTTGGTCTTCAAAATTTGTAGGGTCCTTAGACGGTTCACAAAAACACAGGATTTCAAAAAACCCCACAGAAAAAACCCCACAAGGGGCCAAATCTAGAGAGCGTGCCGGTCACTCCAAATCCGCTCGAAAAGTAGGCCTCAACGACAAAAGCACACTCCTCCTGTTCTAATGCATGATGGCGACTGAACTGTGTCAGGACAAAACTTTATACTCCTGCCTCTTGAACGAGACCACTAGCGCTCCGCTACGTCTTCAACCAACTGAATGGTGCGCATTTTAAAAAAGGGAAGTTATGCTGCCTCACGCTTTGTGAATGAAAAGGTTTGTGTACAATACACTAAACCATTAGAAAACAATGGTGGGTTTTGAAATTCTGGATAAGGGGTGCTCAACATGTACAGACATAAAGATGGGGCAAAGCTACAATACCGAAGTTGTTTAGTTCAAATTGGTAGCATTTATTTGAAGTAATTTGTTTGAGTTCTACTGTTAAAGACCCTAAATTGGGTCTTCTTAGGTCCATGCAGTCACAGGAACACGTAAGGAAGGAGACAGTCCCAAAAGAGATAAAAAAAACAAGGTTTATTTTAATTTCTTCATGAAGAAGACTGATAGCCGGGTAGCATGCGCAGATGCTACCCTTCAAGTGACTGCCATGCCCCCTTGGCTTTTGACCACCAAATATATAACCTCAAGTAAACAAGAACATTTTTTTGTCATGGAAAGTACTCTTTCCAGCCCCTCTCCCTTGACCTTTTGATGGAAAGTACCTTCTTGTACATGCAGACTCTGCACTTTACCACAACCTTTGAAATTAACCACAACACATCCTGTGTAAGAAAGTACCTTCTTGTACCTCTACATATCACATCTTGTTTCTTAAAAACATTTTCTTCCGTATTGCTCTTTTTTCTACAGAGAAAGGGTATGTCTCTCTTTTGCTGTTTATTTCATTCAAAGCTCCTTACTTAGTATTTGCAAATTTAGCTCAAAGACCCTTTCACTACAACACTGATACCTTAAATCCAGAGACTGAATAAGTTACCTTCTGCATTATATTTCCCATAACTACTCCAATGCTTTAGTTATGTTCATACTGGCTGGAGGATTGCTGGAGTTGTAATCCCAAAAAGTAGGTTTTGCAAGCTCTGATGATATCCACTGCCTTTTAAAATAATTTATAGCCTTATGAACCTCTCTAACTTTGACATTATAAATTTATAGGATCCTTTTAGCTTAACAGTTTTGCACTCTACTGCTGCTCAGGCTTTTCTACTAACACGAGAAGAATACTGATGTCCAAATGCCAAGTGAAAAGGACAACACAGAAGGAGGCCCCATATTCTTCAGCATATATGCCTGGAAAAATGGAAGGACACAGAAAACTTAAGATCTCAAAATTAGAGCAGACTGAAATGTTTTTGCCAACATCCTTGACCACGCAGAGCTTAATACGGCCCAACTACATATATCTCTGAAACAGAATTCATTTTAAAAACTACATTTCATATATTTGCCTATTCATTGTCACACTTCATGAGATCTGATCTGTACAATGTTAAAACTGGCTCCACTGAAGGCATTATTATTACATTTGTAACAATGTGAGTAGACAGAAAAGTGCCAATTGTGCTGTCAGTTATGCAATAAGCCATTCATATAGTCAAGTTATGCCTTGAAACTGGAGGGTGTGCATGAAGAACACATACTTCTGAATCAGACTTGACTCTTGTCTTACTGTGACACTGAATGATAGCCATTAAAACATTTACACACACTTAGTTACTTAGTCGATCCCTCGTTGTCCGAGTAGGATAGCCCTCCAGGGTAGATGTGCAGTGTGCGATGGATCTGTGGGTGACTGTGGAGCCCTATTCTTGATCTGCATCTTCTCCTGCAGTCAGGGCATTGGTTTCCAGGTGGAAGGCTGTCCCGGTCGGGGTTGGCTTGACGTGCCTTCCTCTTGGCACATTTCTCTCTTTCACCCCCCCCCCTCGTGTATCTTCAAATTCTACAGCACTGCTGGTCACAGCTGACCTCCAGCTGGAGCGGTCAAGGGCCAGGGCTTCCCAGTGCTCAGTGTCTATGCCAGAGTTCTTAAGGTTGGCTTTGAGCCCATCTTTACATCTATTTTCCTGTCCACCAACATTCAGTTTTCCGTTCTTGAGTTCGGATTAGAGCAACTGCTTTGGGAGACGGTGGTCGGGCATTCAGACAACATGGCCAGTCCAGCGAAGTTGATGGCGGAGGACCATCGCTTCAATACTGGTGGTCTTTGTTTCTTCCAGCGTGCTGATATTTGTCCGCTTGTCTTTCCAAGAGATTTGCAGGATTTTCCGGAGGCAGCGCTGATGGAATCGTTCCAGGAGTTGCATGTAATGTCTGTAGACAGTCCATGTCTATGAGGGACAGGGCCTTCTCGGTGGTGGCCCCTCGACTCTGGAACTCTCTCCCACTGGAGATCAGAACTGCCCCTTCCATCTTGACATTCAGAAAACAGGTGAAAACCTGGCTATGGCGATTGGCAATCGACGAGTGAATCAATATTTCTGTAATCGGATAAATGACGATGAACGATGGACAACGAATTCACTATGACGACTGACCATTGTTATTATGTGATTGCATTTTGCTGTTTTAACGTTTTAATTGAATATGTTATATGATGGTCTGTAATATCGATGTTGGAAACCGGCCCGAGTCCCTCGAATGGAGGTGAGAAGACCGGTATACAAAACTACCAAATAAATAAATAAATAAATAAATAAAGGCATATAGCAGGGTTGGGAGGACAATTGCTTTATAGACAAGCACCTTGGTATCCCTACGGATGTACCGGTCCTCAAACACTCTCTGCTTCATTCGGAAAAATGCTGCACTCGCAGAGCTCAGGCGGTGTTGTATTTTCGGTGTCAATGTTGACTCTGGTGGAGAGGTGGCTGCCAAGGTAGCGGAAATGGTCAACATTTTCTAATGTTACACCATTAAGCTGTATCTCTGGCATTGGAAAGGGTTTGGCTGGTGACTGCTGGAACAGCACTTTGGTTTTCTCGATGTTCAATGACAGGCCGAGCTTCTCGTATGCTTCTGCGAAAGTGTTTAGAGTGGCTTGTAGGTCTTCTTCTGAATGTGCACATATGACATTGTCATCAGCATATTGGAGTCCTATAACAGATGTTGTTGTGACCTTGGTTTTGGTTTTCAGTCTGCTGAGGCTAAATAGCTTGCCATATGTCCGATAGATGATTTCCACTCTAGTGGGAAGCTTCCCATCAACAAGGTGAAGTATCATAGTGACAAAGATGGAAAATAAGGTTGGGTCAATAACACATCCCTGTTTGACACCTGATTCCACCTTAAATGGTTCACTTTGGGAGCCATTGCTATCCAGGACTGTTGCCATCATGTCATCATGGAGGAGCCGCAGGATGTTCACA